CGGTCCCCGGTTTCTCGCCGTTTCTGCTGCCTGCTGAGCCTCCTCCTCCAGGGGCGCCTTCGGCCCAGACAGCCGCCGGGTATTTAGACACCCCCGCGGACGCCCTCCTGCTCGCTGGCCTCCTCACCTTCATGAACTCGTTCTTGTCGAAGCACAGGTTTTCGGGGCCCCGCGGCAGGTTCATGGTCCACGTCTCCATGGCGGGCGGGCGGGCGAGCTCCCACCCGGTCGTCCACGTCGCCTCCGACTCCCTCCCGCCCGCCTCCTTCGCTCGTCTCCTCCAGTCGACACAAAATGTACGCGCGCCACACTTCCGCCAGCACCGCGGCGACGTCGGCCGCCCTCTCTGCTCGTGTGCGGCCTCTGGCGGCCTCTCGCCTCCATACAACTCCGAGGAAAGAGGCAGCGGCTGGCTTGGGCGGCGTCAGTGACTCTGGGTCGATGAAGGGAGAAAGCCGGCCTACAGGTTTGCCGTGCCAGAAGCGAGCATGACCATTATATGTCAAGCAGAGAAACTGCAACATCGTTAGCTTTTCTCCCTGCATGCTGGTTGAAAAGAGAGGAGTCGAACATGTGCAGAATATGTTTCCCACCTCACTATGGTGCCAGCATATGGAGCCTTTCTTAGCTCTAAGTCACTGTGGTAATACGGCAGCTGTGAGTTCCATAATTCAAGCACAGCTAGGATACATGGTCCCCACTGGGGATTTAAATACTGTATCTGACTGGGGAGCCAGAAGTTGAAAATTTGATTCTCCACTCTGCATCCACACAGGTCAAGCCTTGGGCAAGCTGCACTGTCCCGGAATTGACCCAGAAGAAGATGTGAACCAGATCTTGAGTACTACTCTCTACCTAGGGATCTCTGGAAAGGGTCACAATAATTGAGTTCATGGCACACAATTACTATTTAGGATACCTGGAATGCCCGAAGATCTGATACATTGTTTCTAGCTCCTAAATTTTAGGCTATATTTTTGCCACCATGATGTATATGCAGAATACATCATGCGGAAGGCTGGACAGGAGGAATCCCAAGCCAGAATTAAGATTGCCGGAAGGAATATCAACAATCTCAGATATGCAGATGATACCACTCTGATGGCAGAAAGTGAGGAGGAATTAAAGAACCTTGTAATGAGGGTGAAAGAGGAGAGTGCAAAACACATCCTGAAAGTCAACATCAAAAAAACTAAGATAATGGCCACTGGTCCCATCACCTCCTTGCAAATAGAAGGGGAAGATATGGAGGCAGTGACAGATTTTACTTTCTTGGGCTCCATGATCACTGCAGATGGAGACAGCAGCCATGAAATTAAAAGACGCCTGCTTCTGGGGAGGAAAGCGATGACAAACCTTGACAGCATCTTAAAAAGCAGAGACATCACCTTGCCAACAAAAGTCCGCATACTGAGGCTCCAGTACTTTGGCCATCTCATGAGAAGAAAAGACTCCTTGGGGAAAAAAAACTTGATGTTAGGAAAGTGTGACGGCAAGAGGAGAAGGGGACTACCGAGGATGAGATGGCTGGACAGTGTCTGCAAAGCAACCAACATGAAATTGACAGACCTCCGGGAGGCAGTGGAAGATAGGAGGGCCTGGCGTGCTCTGGTCCATGGGGTCACAAAGAGTCGGACACGACTAAACGACTAAATAACAACAAGCTCCTAAATTTTAGGCTATATTTTTGCCACCATGGTGTTTATATGTAGGATACCAGTTAATGTAGGATAGATTGGAAACAGGAAAATGTATAAATTAAGCTGTCTCTTCAAAGCACAGTGCATAGAAGCCAGATTTTAGGAATGAGACAACCCACACAGTGAAATAGCTAATACTTGTCTACATGGAATATTTTCAGATAGAGGACCTGTAAAAAATCATTGGGCAGCAATTCATGGAGATGGAAAAATGATAACAGAGGACAAAGAAAGGCAGAGGTGTTCAATTCCTGTTTTACAGTAGTTCCATCTTTTCCCATAAGACAGACTACAAACTTCCAAACAAATTAGAAGCTCAAGGGGGGGGGCAGGATTGCAGCTGGAGATTGATAAACAAATAGTCAAGGAATGCCTTACCACCTTGAACGAGTTCAAATCCAGGGCCAGATGAACTGCATTCAAGAGTACTGAAGGAACTGGCTGAAGAACTCTCAGAACCGCCATCCATTATTTTCTTGAAATCATGGGAAACAGGGGAGATGTCAGAGGACTTGAAGGAGGGCTAATGTTGTCCCTGTCTTCAAAAAGGGCAAAGAAGAAGAAGCTGGGAACTACAGGCCAATCAGCCTGACATTAATCCCAGGCAAAATTCTGGAACAGATCGTAAAGCGGTCATTGTGCAAGCACCTAGAAAACAATGCAGTAATAACTAGAAGCCAACACGGATTTGTCAAGAACAAATCCTGCCAAACTAATTTGATCTCATTTTTTGATCAGGTCACCTCCCTGATAGACAGAGGGAATGCTGTAAACGTAGTATAACGTGGCTTCAGCAAAGCTTTTGTCATAGTGCCCCAAGCTAACTAGGTGTGGGCTGGATAGATCAAGTGTCCGGTGGATACACAAATGGCTACAGAATTGTACCCAGAGGGTGATGATTAATGGGTCCTTCTCTAACTGGAAGGAGGTAACAATTACTCGGGTACCCCAAGGCTCAGTCCTGGGCCCGGTGCTCTTCAACATTTTTATTAATGACTTGGATGAGGGAGTGCAGGGAATGCTTGTTAAATTTGCAGATGATAACAAATTGGGCAGAATAGCTAATACCCTAGAAGACAGAAACAAAATTCAAAATGACCTTCATAGGATGGAGCACCGGGCTGAAAGCAACAGAATAAAATTTAAAAGGGATAAGTGCAAAGTCCTGCACCTCAGAAAAAGAAACCAATTGCACAGTTACAAGATGGAGGATACCTGGCTCAACAAAACTACGAGCAAGAAGGATCTTGGAATTGTTGTAGATCACAAACTAAATATGAGCCAACAGTGTGATGTGGCTACAAAAAAGGAAAATGCTATTTTAGGCTGCATTAATAGAAGTATAGTTTCCAAATCCCATGAGGTGCTAGTTCTCCTCTATTCAGCACTCGTTAGGCCTCACCTTGAGTATTGTGTCCAGTGTTGGACACCACACTTCAAAAAGGATGCTAACAAATTGGAACAAGTTCAGAGGAGGGCAACAAGGATGATCTGACAGCTGGAAACCAAGCCTTATGAGGAAAGGCTGAAAGAATTGGGCATGTTTAGCTTTGAGAAAAGAAGATTGAGAGGTGATATTATAGCACTTTTCAAATATTTGAAAGGCTGTCCTACAGAGGAGGGGCAAGATTTGTTCTCGATCATCCCAGAGTGCAGGACACACAACAATGGGCTCATCAATGGGCTCAAGTATCAGGAAAAACTTCCTAACTGTTAGAGCAGTACAACAGTGGAACCAGTTACCTCGGGAGTTGGTGAGTGCTCCAACACTGTAGGCATTCAAGAAAAACTTGGATAATCACCTGGCAGATATGCTGTGATTGTATTCCTGCATTGAGCAGGGGGTTAGACTTGATGGCCTTGTAGGCCCCTTCCAACTTCACTTTTCTATGATTCTATGATTCCATCTTTTTCTACTTAATGGATTTATTTTGTAGAAAGAAAAAAAATTACAGAAATAGCAATGGTAAAACTTAAGAGGGTTATAAGTCATCTGAATTCTTTGAATAATTCTATGAATAAGTCAGGATTTGTTTAATCTGTTCAAACACAGTTGGAAGTACAATAACAAAATATTCAACTGATTCAGTTGCAAAAACGTTTTCTACCCAGCTGCATTCTGCTCAGGTAGGAATTATCTTTAGTCTTCTGTTTCCTGCTCTATGTTGTCACAATCTGTCATATTTGTCATTGCATCTTGATGGTGCCACAGTACGGAAGTTGGCAGATACAAATTACAAGTCAGTCCTGAGTTATGGTTATTTTTCCAGAGATTTCCAGAGATAAACAACTTCTTAGTAGTTTAGCCCTGGAAAACCCTGGAGGATCACCATAATCCTGGGGGATCATCATAAATCAGGATTGGCTCAGAAATAGTTTATCATTCCTTTCTTCTGGTGGTGCTCTGGGACCACATGGCTTCCCCAAGACCACACAAGTGGTGGCGCATATAACCCTATCAGCTACATCTGGCCCAGGTGTCCTTGGCTGACCTCTCTCTTAGGAGGCAAAATGGAGATTTGAAACCTGGGCATCTTCAGTCTGTTGACTTGTGATACAAACTATGCACAAACTGCAAAAATGATATTTGGAAATTCTTCATTAGTATTTCTAGAAGACCAATTTGGGAACAATTAGAGAATAATTTCTCAGCACTGCTTTGTTCCCTGCCCCCTAACCAAGGATGTTTGGGTTTTTTTTTTCCACTGACACTGCAGATGTCTTGGCATCCTGATCACTATCTCTAACCAAGGATGTTTGGGTCATGACATTTACAGTACCCTCATGACATTCTGGGACATGGTGGTGGTGACCTTTGTGCGCAATGTATGCAATGTGCTGTCAGAAGTAATTTCCAAATTGCAGAGATACAAAATGGGGAATACTGTACATGGCTCAGCAATACTGCATGGAAGAAAGTTCTTGGAATTGTTGTAAGATGAATATGAGCCAACAGTGTGATGTGGCTGCAAAAAAAGACAAATGCTATTTTAAGCTACCCTAACAGAAATATAGTCTCTAAATCCCGTGAAGTACTATTTCTCCTCTATTTGGCAATGGTTGGGCCTCATCTTGAGTGTTGTATACAATTCTGAACACTGCATTTTAAAAAGGATGCAGACAAATTGGAACAGGTTCAGTGGAGGCCAACAAGGATGAGCAAAGGACTGGACACCAAGCCCTATGAGGAAAGACTGAAAGACAGGGGCATGTTCAGCCTTGAGAAGAGAAGATTGAGAGGAGATATGTTACCACTCTTCCAGTATTTAAAAGGTTGTCATTCAGAGGAGGGATAGGATCTGTTCTCCATCATTCCAGAGTGCAGAACACATAATAATAGCTCAAGTTACAAGAAGCCAAATTTCTGTTGTATATCAGGAAAAACCTCCTAACCAGTAGAGCAGTGGAATAGTTGAACCAATTACCTGCGGAGGTGGTTTGTTTTCCAACACTGCAGGTATTCAAGAGGAAGTTAGAAGGCCATCTGTCAGATATATTTTGATTTGGATTCCTTCATTGAACAGGGGATTAGATTTGATAGCGTTATAGGCCCCTTCGAACTCTATTTGTCTATAATTCCA